AATTCCTTTACTTACTATAAAGTTGTTTTTTTCCTGGTTGTTTGAACTCTTAATAGATGATGTGGGCCCTAGAATATGATCCAGACTTGTTCTATTTGTATGAAGAAGCTGATTCAGCTAATGATAAAGCTGAAGGATCTAAAGAAAGATTAAAACCAATACGTCAATATGGGAAGTTTGAGAGAGAAAATATGAAAAACGGGAAGAATGCGGCCCCACTTCCCATCTCTGTTTTTCTTGTTGCCAGTGTCTTGAAAGACAAGAGCACAAAGCTACAACAAGAAGCTCGAGGCCTGGATGACGTTGTTAAGGTAAGCAAAAAGCTGACTTTTCTGGTGCTTTCCAGTTGTTAAGGCAAGGTCAGTTTGCCAATCTATTAAAGAAGACATGCAAGTGCAAGCAAAATTCACCTTAAAAAGGCTGTCAACTATATCTACCTTCTGAATTAACTTCAATTGGAAAAGATGCTATAATACCACAGTTTTATTAGCAACCTCAGCTCCACCCCTAGTCTAAGGAATAAGATTGGTTTGCAATGTGGTACCATTAATTGCAAAAGCATTTATTGCCAAAGGGATTTTAGTTTATGGTTTCTGAAACCCAGGAGAGTAAGTTCGATCATTTTTGGATATTTTGGCTTTTAGGTGCTGGAGGAAGGCTCATAACTTACCTGGTTATGAAAAAATTGAGAATTATGCCCTTCATTTCGTTGGCCTATGTGTTTCTTTTTTTTTTCTAATCCTCTCTCTTTCTTCTTTCCTCTTCCTTCTTTCTTTTGTTTTATTTACAGATATTAAATGACATAACTGGAAGTTTAGACGCCAAAAAAGCTTGCAGTGGGGCAATGAAACTTCATAAGAAGTATCTAAAAAAGGTATTGTTTTCCTTCCCATCTGTTGTTTTCAATCTCAATTCTTCATTGAAATTCTCCATTAAGTAAAAAAAAAGAGAAAGCAAGAAGAGAGTAGTAATATCAGTATTGACAGTAGAGAGACATGGAGCTGTCATGTTTTAAATCCACAAAAGGAAAATGTTGGGCATGATCAGATGCTATAGCTCTAAAAAGTTTGCATGGTTGTTTTATTACTGATTTCAAATAGATGCATCCACAAATGTGCCTAGGAGGGAAAGGAATACCCGTTATTTCACAAATCATGGCTAACTAACCATTCCTAATTTATATATTTCTGGGATTACCTCCCCAACTGTTTTAACCCTTCATTAGGGGATTGTTGGGGTTCAAACCTACTCTCTGCATATGCTA